CAACATGCTGGAGAAGTATGAAGAAATAGAAGAGCACGAACAAGTCGCCCTAAGGTGCGATTTTGCAGTGGAAGTCGACGGTGACGATGACGTCAATGACGATGGAGACGGGGACGAAGTCCCAACGCTGCCTCTAAAGAAACAGCAAGATGAGCAAGATGTAGTCATTGAGGCCACTTTGGACACGGAGAAAAAACGCCAAGTGTTGGACTTGATGGCTGACTACAGAGAGGTCTTCTCAGATCTACCAGGCAAGACTAGCATGATCAAGTGCGACCTCAAGTTGACCACCTATACACCAATACACATAAAACAGTACCCATTGCCGTTAAAAGTACACGAGGTGGTGGAGGAAGAGATAACGGAGATTTTTATTTTTTATTTTATTTTTTATTTAGGTATACTGTTAACCCGTTAGGGTTGTTAGAGGGGTGCACAAGGCACGAGAATACATATGACCAAATACAAAATGGGATGGGCGTTGTAGAGAGATCAAATTCGCCGTATAACGCGCCTATGGTGATGGTGAAAAAATCGGACGGTTCGAACCGGTTTTGCATAGATTTCCGGCGACTGAATCAAGTACTGGTGTCCGATGAAGAGCCCATACCAAGGGTAGACGTCACTTTTGCGAAGGTGGGACGCAAAAAGTTCTTGTCTAAACTTGATTTAGTCAGAGGGTATTGGCAGATACCCATGGATGAAGTGTCTAAAGAAAAGACAGCATTTTCATCATCGAGTGGGTGTATCAATTTAGGTTCATGCCCTTCGGTCTGAAAACCGCAGCAGCAACTTTCACGAAGTTTATGCGGAAGCTGCTAGAGGGTATACCGGACGCATACCACTACATTGACGACGTGCTGGTGGCGGCAGACTCGTGGCAAGAACACATCGACACACTGAGGGAAGTTCTGAACAGGTTGCGCTCTGCCGGTCTAACAATAAAACCCAAAAAGTGTGAAATGGGATTTCACTAGATAAGCTTTTTGGGACATCGGATAGGGTTGGGATTAATTGCTCCGAAACAAGAGATCCTGACGAGAATACAGGACTCACCGAGACCAACTACGAAACGACAAGTTAGATCATTTCTCGGACTGACGGGATTTTAAAGGGAGTTTATACCCTACTACGCACGGCTCGTAGCTCCCCTGACAGACCTGACAAAGAAGGGGGCACGAAATGACGTGGAGTGGGAAGAGGAACATGAAGCAGCGTTCCCTCACTTTAAGCAGTTGCTAGCTGAGCCACCCATCTTTATGGCTCCGGATTTAGGAAAAGAATTTACATTGCGGACTGGCGCTTTAGACGCAAGCTTGGGAGCAGTGCTCCTACAAGAGAGAGACGGGGTGCTACATCCAGTTGCTTACGCCAGCCGAAAACTTAGTAGGGCGGAGAAGAACTTCGCAACAATAGAAAGGGAATGTTTAGCAGTGGTTTGGGCGGTGGGAAGATTTACGATTTATTTGTACGGTCGAAACTTTCGGGTTCAGACAGATCATCAACAACTAGAGTTCATTAATAAGGCAAAATACACGAACAACCGTATCATGAGGTGGAGCATGAAGCTACAAGATTACAGCTTCCACGTGGAGTACATCAAAGAGAAAGATAATGTGGGCGCTGATTTCTTGAGTCGGATTTAGACGAGGGAGCAGATTTAGATGATAATCATGGAGGAGTCTGTCCTAGTATTTTTTGGGTTAACTTTGTGTTTGCTGGGGGATGATTCAACACGAATTAAGGGACTGAGGATTGAAGAGTCCACAATCCTATATTTTGTTGTGAAAAGGGTAATTGCAGGTCAAATCAAGTACCTTCGTTTTCGAGGTTGAGAAAGTCCTGCTGCGACACAAGCGCGGGTGGTGTTGAGAAATAGAATAGGGCTAGTACCGCACCGACGGTTTAGTACTGGGTTGCGCACGCGGGCACTGGGCGTGATAAGCTGTGTGCTATGAGTGAAGTGTCCAGATGTGCCGTGCACGTGACAGCTTCCCAACAATCGCCTACGGAGAAAGGACAAGAAAATAGAAAAAAGAAGCAAGAAAATTCATTGTATGAATTTCTGGAACGTCGGGGGCATTGTCACGATTGTGAAGGAGAAAGAAAAAGAATCAGGGAAGGGCGAGCGGCCTACAGGCAAGCCGAAGGAAAGGAAGAAGAGGAGATGAGAAGCAAAAGGTGTACTTGGAGAAGGACGTCCTTGGCTCTGCTCCGAGGCGAGGCCACCAGCCACTGGCAACGCTCCAGTCTAGCGAAGCAACCTCACCGATCTCCAAGACTCCGACCTAGCGACATCGCACCCCAGAGATAACCACGACAAGCAGCTGGCCCGGCTTCAGTATTCCAAGGTCGTCAGTGACGATCGACATTCAGGGGAACTGGGTCACGGGGACCGATAGGGTTGGACTTTTGGAATTTACTTTCTTGTACATAACAGCAGTGTTCTTTACGTTGTAAATATATGTTTTATTATTCTACTCGCTCGACCTCTGCCTCCACTGATTCCGTGTACCGTACTGGTCTAACGCGACACTGGGTGAGGGATTTGTAAATTACGTGTCTGCCTCGGTAGGGATGCGGGGAAACATGGCGGTGCACCGGTGAGTGAGCGCCACTCGCTTTAAAACTAATATGTCGTTGTAGCTGCACTATCGGGCGCGTTAGTCAGTAACGAATGGTGCAGGAGGCTTTCGCTTTGCCTTACGTCACTTAAATCGCAAAGCATGAGCAATGAACTCGCCGCATTTTAAAATAGAATTTCGATGCTGGCCATTCCTAAGCCTAAATGAACGCGATAATTTTTGGCACGGCAAGTGGATTTGGAAAGTGGATTGCCTTGACCCAATCGTCCGGGTATTGATAGCACACAAAAGCAGACAGCGTCCAAATAGACCTTTTACGAAATTTTCCGAAGACCGAGGTCCGTGCTACAAGTGTAGTTACACGCGTTTCACGTGCTGGCGTCTGCAATACTAATTGTTCTAAAGCAAAAAGTCTAAAACAAATTTGCCTTGCACGCGCGTTCGTCAAAGCCTTATTGTGATTATTTACTTCGAATATTTTATAAGAGGAAGGCCATCGTACGCGGACCATAGAATCACACTTTCAGCGTGCTCCCCGATACTTGGGTTATATAGAAAAAGGCCTATTGGGAGGCTGTCTGCTTTTGTGTGCTATCAATACCTGGACGATTAAGTCAAGGCAATCCGCTTTCCAAGGACAATGCCGTGCCGACAATTATCGCGTTCATTTAGGCTTAGCGACGGCCAGAATCGAAAGACTATCTAGAAAAAATGCGGCGAGGGCGCTGCTCATGCCTTGCGATTTAAGTGAGGCAAAGCGAAGCCTCCTGCAGCATTCGTTGCTGACTAACGCGCCCGATATTGCAGCTACAACGACATATTAGTTCCAAAGCTAGCGGCGCTCACTCACCGGGGCATCGCCATGTTTCCCCGCATTCCTACCGAGCCAGTCAGGTGATTTCGAAATTTTTCTCCTAGGTACTGCGGCTAACTTTAGCCGCGGATAGCGCTTCGAGCAAACGTGCCCTGATGCCGTTTGGCTAGGATTTTCGCGTGGCTTCATAGCTGGGAGCTGGCTGGAGAAAAGATTAAAGGCGCCGTTGGGCGGCAGCTTCAAAGCTGATGATGTCGGCTCGCTCCATGACACAGTTAATGCTTCCGCATTAAAAATATTCTTGCGCGAAAGCGCGACACCAGAGCCTTCAGATTGTGGAGAATTACATAGAAGAATGAAAGACACACCCAACTGTCTGTTCTTTTTTTACACTTCCATCCAAAAGGTAAATAAAAGGTTCATCCCAATGCAAAAAAAAAAAAAAAGAAAAGCTCAACGCATTCCCCTGAAGCAAGTAACCGCGAAAGCAAAGAATTATTTTGTATCTTAATATAGTGACACCTTTCTCCGGTAATCTGGAAGGCCGTGCAAAAAAGCACAGTGATCCTACAACTAAATGCAGGAACGGTGTTGAGCATGCGACATACCTTTGGCACGCAGATTTTTTCAGATCGGGCAGTCTGGCATCGGCAAGAGCGATGAAATTTCAGAAGGCAAGTGGGCGGTTTCATCGAAGTTCGCATAATTCAGAGATCGTTAAGTATTTAGCAGAGTGACAACAATTGCTCTCCTGAATATAACTCCATCATGATTGTAAGCGGAAAATCAGATCCGTTGGAACGTATCGCAAAAGAGTTGGTTAGTATCCCTTCTGCAAAAACTGTGTTGGTATTTATTTCGTTGTCACAGTCAAACAAGTCAGGACTTTTTCAGGTATAAAATGTATTTTGTGTGTATGTGTTTATGCTGTTGTGCTACGAGAAAGATTGAGAGGAGCGGGGGGCCGCGGAGGGGGGGGGGGGGAGGTTTGTGTACTATCACGGTGACTTGTTGGGTTCCGGGAATGCATCCTGTGGTTGTTTGCGAGGGAAAGGGATTTTACTGTTTATCTTTGAGAATGTCGCCAAGATGACCTTGTAAATAATTTTCGTCGACGACTGAGGTCTGCAGCCTTCGTAAATGGGATCAGTCTTCAATAAACTATTATCTGTGTTCGAGTGCGCTGTGTGTTGTCCCATACATGTATGCGTATTTCTTCTTTCTTCCCAGTCCCAGGCTATGTTTTCGCGAGGAAATCACTGTCTAGTGCATTTACAGGATTTCGCACGCAGAACAAAAGTCTTAGAATGCGTCTTGTTTGCTAAGTGTGGGCGACGGGCTGTGCTTTCTGTTGCGTGGGCGGACGCAATTTGAGAACCCATCACTTTTTTTTATATTCCCCACTAACTTTAGTGCTAAATTGTAGCAGGAAAACGAAATTCGTCTATTTAAGTACTTAATAAATGGCACGCAGATCATATTTTTGTGCTAGCTAATCAGTTGCATGTAGCAATGCAGAGTGAACACAGAAAAGGTAGATGTGCCAATGTTTCGAACAGTCGACCTACGCCACTTGTGCTCAAGTTAGTTTTTGCACCCACCTTTAGTATATCTGGGGTTCTTTATTACCATGCACGACTCCATATTGGAAAATAATACCTCGCGTGCAGTCGTTGGTGGATATGATTTTTCTGTTTAAAAAGTAGATGAAATATGGTCAGACACATATACTGAAAGTATTTTACGAAAAAAAGATTATTGCGAACAACCCGAATAGCGAGCAACGTGTGAATATTTTGTAGTTATTGCTGCGGCATTTTAAGCATTGCACTTAATCCTAACCGAAGACGACGGTCGATAAAACAAAAATCACCCACGTCTCAAACGCAGCGTTTCGGGTAATAGTATACATAATCTTAACCAGTTCAACTATTTATTATACTTTTCTTTTTTTCTTTTTTGAAGCGTAGCGGCAGTCTCGTAATTTGTATATTGAAGCGCACCTATACTTTCGAGGTTAGGACAAAACCTTAGACTGCATAGTAGATTGAAATGATATTGATGGCACATATACTAGTTAACCTATTCTGGCAAGATGGAAGCCGGGACGTCGAATTCTGGTATATATTCATAAAACATGCAGGGTATTACTAGCGAGAACGCACTTGCTCAAAAAAAAGCATTAGTTCGGAGTAAAAACACAAAAACTTGTACCAGTGTTTTGACAAGTAGAACGAACTGGAGGAGCAACTACCACCAAAGGTGCTTAAGTAACGATTGAATTCCAAAATGAATGATCGCTCATAAATATTAGCGATTTACCCTAACTTGGTGCTGATATAGCTATAAAAGCTACGTGATTTCCTACAAACTCACTGAATAAGTAAAACGAAGTGAACTTATAAGTAAATATGCATCTTATTAAAAAAAAAACGAACGCTGTTTGTTATAAGACTTTTGCCTAGATTTAGAAAATGAGGTTTCATAGGAAATAGTTCGGCTTACTTCGATGGGTGCCCATATGAACTGTGTAGTTGGTCACGATTTTCACATAGTACGGTTGATAATGGCTGCAAATTAAACACGTTAAATCTCCGATTTGTTTGTAACATACGAATGATACAGATTTTTTAAAATATAAACGCATTTAGTACTCACAAATGGCCGTCCATGTAGAGGTGAAAAAAAGCATACATTCCGAAAGTTTTGTTTCGTTTTGTCCGATTGTAGAACTTTTGATAACCACAGGTTAAATTAGCAAAATTTAATAGTGACTGAAGCATGTACGTTTCAGGTAGTTTCTTCATAACCTGCAAAAGTATTTACATATTCTGTACAAATTGTGAAATCATGTCAATTTAAGCACCTGAAGAAACTGAAAAATGACTAGCTTTTTTTACTATTATATTCGAGATCGAACCGTGTAGCCACCCTGCGGCCGAAATTGGAACTAGGCGAAAGTGGTGATACCGACCGCCGTGCGCTTTCAGAAGCATGGATCTCGACGACGCAAGCCCGTTTCCGTCTGAACTGAGCTCTCCTCATTAAACGTTTGTTGTTTCTATTGCCCTTTTTTTCTACGAAAGGTTGTGTTGCACCGTTTCACGTGCGTGAAAATTCAGCAAGGCGATTAATATTAACTCGGAAGCTTCCCTAATCGTAGTGTTGTGGCCTGTATACAACCGCTGGTCCCTTTTATGTTTGTTATCCCGCACAAACCATTGCTTTCATAAAACATTGAATGTTGGTGGCAGCTGCAGTTTGACTTAAAAAATTAACCCGTCTGATCGCTGCCCTTTTATGGACTTATCAGTTGATAAATCCGTTAGTTGTTTGTTGACCGGTTATATTGCATGAAAGACGTTAAAATATTCGTTTTTTTTTTTACTATTTTTGTTATGCCATATTGCATTCCCATTTTAAACTTCATTTTGTGACGCCTGCAGAAACATCAACAATGAAAGCCCCTTAAAGAGAAGTCATTTTTAAGTTATTATTTAAACGGTATAATCACCCTCGATGACAATCGCAAGCCGGCTGAAGTGGTTTACATGAGTACTAAACGAAATAAACGCGTCAAAAATATCAAAGCCCGCATTTTTTTACTTTTTCCTTATCTTCTCCAGCGCAAAATTTTAAAGGGCAAAAAAAAAAAGCATCGTAATTAAAGCATCACTTGAATAATCGAAGGTTATTTGATGAACTGCCCAGTCCCGATACGCGTTAGCTGAGGGCGGAGGGAGATCGAAAAGTAACGCGGGAGTCGCTAGCCCTCATTACTAAGAGAGCGTCGCTGCGGCAGGCGCTGTGTCGTACTGCTGGGCCGTTTGTTGAAGTTGCAGACTCTGCTATGTTAGAGTAGAATATTATTAAGTCCAGAAGAAGTTTGTTTCACTTGTTTTCGTTTTCCTGCCAACGAAGAGTTTGCGGATCGTAACTAGAGGAGGTACTTTGTCCTCATCGCAACCTAGTTGATTTTTTCCGACTCCGAGAAACTTAGCCACACCATGAAAAATAAAGAGAAAACTTGGCTGAGCAGGACTGTATAGCACGGTAATTTCTAATACAGCCCTAACTTTTCTTAAAGCTAAATATTTGTATACCTGTAAAAGGTAAAATTATAAAAATAATAAGAAGAAAAAATCATAGAACTTGCAATATCATATCCCAGAGTACACGTATTATGTTATCCGGGTTCGAATTCATTGTTTTGTTCAATTATCATGATGATGAACAGATGCATCTATTTTAAAAGAAACAAATATTTAATATAAATAGTGCAGTTCACCCGGAGACCGGCATCCGTCGCGGTGATCCATGCTTCCTAACGTCTGCCTAGAGCAGACGACGCATCCACACGCGCGATTACTTAAAATTAGGCCATACACTGGCAACACAACTCGATCTTCAGATAAGAAATGAACCGTAGTGCACCATTTTTTCTTAAAAATGCCTCTTTAGCGATATTAGCCGAAAAAATAAACGCGAGAATCTACACTGTTTCGCGGCTGAACGTGGAGGGCCTGTCCCCGCTTTAATGATGATGACAGCGCGAGAGTAGCGCCACCTCTAGGTCGATCACAAGGTCAATAGGATGAGTAGGAAAAACAAACCCCAAAACGTTCAGCCTTTCCTCTTTCGTGAACAAGGAAGACCAGTGGAGCTGTACTCGACAGAGTTGCCGCAACGCGCATGCACCCGGTTCGCGCTTCTTCTCGTCCGACACGCCGCCGATCGTGGATACGTCTCCGGCGAACCAGAGTCGGTCGCAGACGGCGCACGTGACGCCAAACGGGTCCTCCACGAACTCCCTCCGGAACCTCAACGTCGCACCCGGGAACTGTTTGGCCGGCGTGGAGCGTAGTTGTCCCCGGACCTGGCGCTTGCGCTTGGCCTCCCTCGCACGATCGCCGTCCGTGGCGTTGGCCCGCCGGCGCCCTTTACATCGCTGGTTCTGTTCTTAACGGGGGTTTCCCAGGCGAGCGATATGCTCTTATTTGGCAAGGGAATCCCAAGCGCTGGGCGCAGCGGAAGTCGAGGCGACAGCGGCTTTGCGGCGGTTGCGGACCCATTCGCGCTGCTGCGTACGTCACCGCTCCCTTCCGCAGCCTGTCTTCTTCCCCCAAAGGAGCGCGCGGCCGACCCATCTTGAGTCCAAACCGCAAGTGATAAGAGCGTAGGAAACAGCGCGCAAAACAGACGATGACGAAGAAACACACGTGACGAGCGCTGCGCTTGTTCCGTGTGCTTCTTCGTCGTCGTCTGTTTTTCGCGCTGTTTCCTACGATGAATTCCCACCAACGCGCCCAACTATACATTCTTCTATGACAGCTGGAAAGGTTGCCGCCATCTATGAGCAACAACGGCAACCAGACTGGTGTTCTGCTTGCCGCCGTCGCTTATAGATGGAGGTAGCTCTTCAGGTAGGTTTGTGTCGACATGCGTTTGATACCAGACACGATCCTGGGATCCTATCCCTTAACAGCTTGGCTGTAAAAGAACACGTACCGCAGCATTCCTTTTTTAAAGCGAAAGCTTTAAGGAGCTCGTGTCGCAGAAAAGCTGACATTGGCGTCGGTGTCGGTGGGACGGGAAGATCCTTTATAATGAAGTTCAATAAAAAGGTGCGAAGAAGCTTGACAATAATGATTAAATAATCAATGGAGAAGAGGAAGACGGATGACGAAGGACCAACACAAATATCCAAACATAGCTGGGTGACTTGTGCGCAACCGAAAAAGTCCGCATGGCCGTGGTGTCAAACGTTTGCATTCAATTACATGATCATTCATAACCTTAAAAATGCAAGCTGTTCCCCATTGTTGGTGTTAGACTGGTGGCGGCAGATAAAACCCGTTTGCTCCACTTACGCCTAACTCCTAGTTAGCTCAGTTGGTAGAGCGCTCCAGTGGAAATGAAGAGATCACTCGTTTGGTATCCAGGACCAGGCGGATTGTTTTGTTTTTTTCGGACGCGGACCAGTCGCCTAGCTGTTTTTGGAGATTTTTGTTTGTACTTTATCCCCTTTGTTCCCCTTCTCTATGGATATCCGAATGGTCTCTTGGACAGCGTGTTTGAACACATCTACACAAAACTAAAGTGCAAAGCATCATGCGCTGGAGGAACACAGAAGACAAAAGCTAAACAAAATATCGCGATAGTACCCTACATCCATGGAATAACACAAAAATTAAAAGATAGCTGCGGCGCTGGACGTTAAGGTTGTGTCCTCTGCACCACACAAAGCATTTTCAATTTTGCGTAAGGTAAACCAGGACATCAACCCCATAAAAACCTGCAAACTTTTTCACAAGACACACTATTCCTCATGTAAAAAGGAGGTTGTATATCATATTCTTTTATCGTGTGGCAAGTGTTAGATTCGCCTAACTGACAGATGTATTAATGACAGGAAAAGAGAACACGCATCATATTTAAAAGGCACAACCACAGGTCATCTACCAACCCATTGCCGCAACTGTGAATGCAGTGCCAAGTTCAGCACCATCGCAAAAACACAAGAACCAGTATTTTAAGGTGAACATTTCCGGAGACATCCGCCTGGCTTGGCTAAACGTTATAAATAATGAACAAACGCCAACCAATCCCTAAAAGGTCGTAGGTATACCCTTCGATTTTTAGGGATTGGTTGGCGTTTGCTCTATATTTATAAGAACCAGTAAGTACGTGGGATGATCAAGACCATGGCCATAGAAGAAAGCGAAGCGGCGTCAGTCAGCGAACCTTCGATTAAGTTGAATACCAAAAATATATATATATATATATTTGCGGTGTTTTTGTTGAGGTGAAGAGCGGGTGATTCAAGTTTAAGTTAGGTTATACGATATAAGTTGTGTTTTTTGTGGCTTTTAACAACAACAAAAAAGAAAAAAAAAGTACAAAGTCAAGGTTCAAAAAAAGGAAGCAGTATTAAACCACGTTGGTAGTCAAGCGGCATGTCTGAACCCTTTTGCCTTTACATTATTTTCTGATAAGTTCAGCTTGCCCTAGTATAGTTTGCCCTATTAAAGAGCAAAGGCCGTCGGCAGCGCCGGATATTTGCCCCCGCGGTACGAGCGCAAACTAAAAGAGTGACTCAGCGTCGACAAATCAGCAGTCTTCGACGTCACAATATTGTAGACGAGGGGATCGGTCATAGAGTAATATAGTAAACGTAAAGAGAGGACACCGGAGCCGATTCGCGGCCCAGATAGTGCGTTTAATACCCTCCGCTATGTGGCGCTTTTCTGAAATTTGGTTAAAATTAATAAGAACTCTTTCTGTGAAAAGTATTCATTTTTTAAATGGCAATGCTTTAATATTGTTTAAAGTACTTAAAACAACTAAATAGTTTAAATCAAATACGTCACAAAAACCACGTGATCAATGGCGCCTGCCATGACCTGCCTGCCTGCACGCCGTCGCCTCTGCATCATTCTGCATGGCCTCTGCTCGTCCCTGCGTCGTTCGTCTGTGCCGTCCATCTGTGCTTTCTGCTGCATCACGTTCGGTCGACTTTGCATCAATCAAGGTGACGCATGACCGTCCGCGTGCTCGCATGCTCGGCGTGAATTCGTGGAGCTGATCGGTTCGAGCTCCTCGCGCTGTTGTTTCTGCCGGGCTGTCTGGCTGCACTTGAATGTGTGTGTATGTTGATTTTTTATGAGACTGTTATAAAAAAAGAATTTAACCTACGATCCTGCACACAACATTGTCCATGGGTTTACAGATGACGGTGTTGAACGAACCTCTAACATTGCAGATAGAGCCTTGGTTGTTATGCTATCTGAAATTTCCAGGAGGTGCGTTT